AGTCATATTGTAATCCTTTTCAGTCATATTGTAATCCTGTTCAGTCAGATTGTAATCCAGTTCAGTCAGATTTTAGTCCTGTTCAGTCATATTATTATCCAGTTCAGTCAAGTTATAATCCAATTCAGTCAGATTATTATCCAGTTCAGTCAGGTTATAATCCAGTTCAGTCAGATTATAATCTAGTATAGTCCAGTGAGATTCAGGCATTTAGTTCTTCCCAACAGTTAGTAAAATGTTGTCACCAGTCAGTTTACCATCTGAACGGATTAGAGCATTATGTTCTGGATTAAGCGGTTCTGTTTCTGTCACTGTGTTTCGGTACCAACGGATCAGAGAGTCCAGTTCCCTCAGCGTACCTGAAACTGGATCATCAGTTACAGGTGAGTTCACGTCCTTTCGCCTCAGTCCGAGCGATGACCAGAAGGTTTGAAAGGTTCTGTTTGTGTGGTTGCTTCAGCCTTTGGCTCCGTGTCCGAACTCCCGGGAGTCCATGGCCGTGTTCGAGCAGCACATGCGGATGGCCCAGGAGTACCTGAGGGTCCAGTCCGAGATCGCTCACCTGCTGAACAGGAAGTAAGTGTGTTCAAACACAGGAACACCTGACCAGTATCCAACTGGTTTATTTTAATAAAGTGCAGACGTGTGAGGATTGTGGGATGTTCTCCGAGCTGCTGCTGGTTCTGCCCTTTGGTTCTGATTGTTTCTGTTCAGACAGGAGCTCAAGAAGGAGCTGGAGCAGGAGCAGAGGGAGCAGCAGACGTCTTCTCGCCTCATCCAGGAGCACACCAAACTACTGGAGGACAACAGCAGCCTGTCAGCCTACTGCCAGGATTTGAGGAGCCAGCTGGGCCGGATCCAGGGTCAGAACCAGCACCACAGCTGATTACTGCTGCTGGTTCTGGTCCACCACGTCACATTTCGATGGTGAACTTTTAAACTGAACTGTTGGTCTCCTTGAGGACCCGTCATTACCCTGTTTTAAAAGATGATTGCGCTGCCTTACAACCCAAACCCAGACCCGGTTCTGTCTCAGTCGTGTGCTCGTCTTTGCTGCAGTAAACTCTTTAAAAAACAAAAACACTCTCCGTGCTCTACAGAACCAGTGTTTCCTGCAGCCTCTTCTGCTTTGAGTCCGTGTTTACTGACCTGCACAGCAGCATCATGAAGTGGATCTTTAGTTTCGGGTCTTGGTTCTGCTGCAGAAGGACGAAGTTTGTGCAGGAGTTAAGAGAACCGACCATCAACCCGACACGACTGGAATATATTTATATATATATATATATATATATAAATATATATATACAAAAGACAACTGCTGTTGATCTGTGGAGCCAAAAACTGCAAAAAATGTGAATTTTATTCAAGTATAGCATTAAACTATATATAATTTATGTACTTTTACTTCCTTTTACACTGTAGTTTTTACCTTTAGTAAATGTATCTGGCATCTTTAGGTACGTTTACAAATTAAACATGAAAACATTTCATCTTGGCAGCGTGTACATCAAAGTTGTGAAATATCTAGTAGTTTTTGTTACAGAATAAATTTTAAACAGAAGTGACACTAGGAAGGTTTACTAAAAACATCTGTTTCCTTCTTTAAGTTCACACGCAGCTGTGGCTGAGTGGTTAGAGCAGTTGTCCTCCAACGGGAGAGTTGGGGGTTCGATTCCACCAGCAGTCACACGCTGAAGTGTCCCTAGGCAAGACACTGAACCCCTCACTGCCTCTGATGTGTGTCCCATCGGTGTATGAATGTGATAAAACACTGATTATTCTTTGTAGAGATCTAGTAGAGTGTTGTATAAATGGATAAATGAGGGCACAGATTGTGTTATAAAACACTTTGAGTATCTTGATAAGATACAAAGGCTATATATATATATATATATATATATATATATATATATATATATATAT